GCTTTGAAAAACATAAAAGAAGTGAGTGTAGTTTTCACCAGTGGAAACAAGGTGGTATAGGCTGTACTATGAAAGATACCGCATCGAAAGGAAACATGAAATTCTTCACTAACCAGACCACTGAAGAAGCCTTCCAAGTCTTACTAGAGAACCCCAGAACTTATTTTGTGCTCCACATTAAGATCCTATAGCCCAAGTCTAAAAAGTGTAGCATGAGACAAAGAAATAGGAAACAAGGAGTTCTGGCCAAGATCATACTTATGATGGGTAAATTTCTATGTGCCTAGGTCTCCCATTTGTAAAAACAACCCACAGCAGTCTATGCTGCATTCCCTAAACATCTTGAGAATCTTTTTTTTTCTTCTTTTTTTGGAGAAGTTTTTGCTATAGGGTGCATGTGCTCACCAGAAAGAGAGACGGAAAGCGAAAAATCACCCCCAGGGAGGATGGCCACACTGCAATCCCTTTTCCTCCATTATCCTCTAGGGATCTTGGGCACGCATGCACATGCGCCTGGAGTGAGCTGAAGCCACCGGGTGTGGGACTTGAACCACGGTCAACTACATGGGAGTCCAGCAACATAACCATTAAGCTAACTGCTGGTCCCACATCCTGAGACTCTTTAGAGCAGGGAAAACCTTCTCCAGTGACCTACCCTATGAAGCTCTATGGAGGTGACTGAAAGAGCACCGGTTCATTTTTTGAAGAGGTTTTTTTTTTTTTTTTTTGGTTATAGGACACATGCACTCACCAGAGACAGACAGACAGACAGAAAGCAAGAAATCACCCGCAAAGGGGGATGGCCATGCCACAATCCCTTCTCCTCCATTCTCCTCTCAGGATCTTGGGCACACACGCACATCTGCCCAGCATGAGTTTAAGCCACCAGGTCCAGGACTTGAACCGTGAGTTGACTATATGGGAGTCCAGTGACATAAACATCACACCAACTGCTGGTCCCAGAGCACCATTTTATAAAAGAGCATCAAATACTGTTCTTTCAAAAGAGATAAGATTATAAGTACACAGGAAATTGCACACTTGTTTCAAAAATGCTGCCACTGCACAAAAGTTTAAGTATTTTTCTTGAATTATTATCAAGTCAGTAAGTCATTCTTAATGTACAGTAGAAGAATGTAAATACTCCTAATTTCAATTTATGCATTCCTCACTTCTGAGAAAGATCTGAAGCTGCTTATATTAAAAACATTTATGCTTGGGACTAGCAGGTGGTGTGGTAGTTAAGGCACTGGACTCCCACCAGGCTGACTGTGGTTTGAGTCCTGGACCTGGCAGCTTGCTTTCTCACTCTCCTTCTCTCTCTGGTCAAATTGAAGAATAATGAATAAATAAAATTAAATTTAAATTTTTTTTTGAAAACACTTATGCTTATGTTTATAAAGGAGATGAATAACTTTCCCAGGTGACTTACTTCCCTGAAGGGAATCTCTTTACATATTTATGTTTTTTGTTTTTTTGTTTCTTTTTTTTTAAAAAAGGACATGTGACTTTATAGGTACAATTCATATTTAGGGAAGGAGGGAATCAAATTCCCTACCTTCGCACCAATTCCTTACTTCTCATCTTTGGTTTTTCTGAAAGAAAAAATAACTTTGTCTATTTTATAATTTCGCATTCTTACTCACTTATCACTATGGTTAGGATGGTATTCAGTGATGGAGTGACTTTTCTAAAAGGTGATTTCCAGATGGCTGACCCTTTATATTAAATAGGGACTTCCTACACAGCTGTCCTAACCCACAAAACAGTTTTATTTGTTCTATTTTAGCCATGGGTCTCGCTATGTTGCCCAGGGTGGCTTCAAAGTTTGATCCTTCTGAGTAGCTGGGATTGTAAATTCACACCAGTATGCCTGGCAGAAACAGCTTTTCAATCCCACATCTTTTTTTAATTTAATTTAATTTTTTTTTTTTTTAAGGTTTTTGACATAGGGTACATGCACTTGCCAGAGACAGTGAGAAAGAAATTGAGAAATCACTCCTCGGGGGGATGGTCATATTACAATCCCTTCTCCTCCTGAGATTTTGGGCATACATACACATGCACCCAGCATGATTTTCAAGCCACCAGGTCTTAGACTTGAACCACAGTTGGCCATGTAGAAATCTAGCACCTTAATCACCATACCACCCAATGGCCTCTCAATCCCATATTCTTATTCCACAGAACCTCTGCAAAATGGCTATACTTGGGGCCAGGTGGTGACATAACAGTAAATGCAAGGGCCTCAAGGCTGACCCACATGGGAAGGTTCCGGGTTCAAAACTGGACACCTCCTTGAGTAGGCGAGGCACATGAATGCCCATAATCTGGGGTTGACTGAGGCTGGGGGTAGATCATGGTGCCAAGACCCTATTAGGGGCACCATCTCTATTTCTCTTGCTCATGAGAAAAACAAACTTAAAAAATAAATAAGAAACACTTCAGCAAATGGCCACACTGGAGCTCATGTAGATGTAATAGTGCTCACATGACTCCGGTTTTCTCCATCTCTCACTAAATGACATGTACACACATTAAGTGACCTGGTGATAATAAGGACCCATCACAGATTGTAAGAATTACTTTTAATACACCCTGTAAGATATTTTTAAAGCTACACAATTATTTAGTCACCTAAAGGGAAACAGCCCACTCTTCATGCTCATTAAGATCATGTCTTCATTCAGAGATAACAATAGACATATCATTATCAACCTGAGATTGCTAAATCAGACTGGAACAGTTTTGTTCTAATTATTACAGAAGTGATTACTAGCGCATTCCTCTACTGCTCCAAATTTCACTTTTACTAGCTGCTAAATAACAATGGCTCATTGGCCTCCCAACAAGGCTTCCTGGCACTTGAAGTTCACTATATCCATCCCACCTGAAACTTTATTGCCAAAGAAGGAGACAAGAAATGATCATCCACTGAGTTTCCCTCCACTTTGGCTTTAAATTCATCTCTGAAGCTGTTCCTATATTTTTCTAATTTTCTTTCTGGAATAACTTAAGGGCACCAAAAGTTACAATCACAGTACTCAGGCTGATGGATCTCCATAAAAAAGCTTGCTTTCTTTTAAATACTTATTTTGTAACAAATGGTGTCCTTTTTAAACTTTTGCTTAAAGAGCCCATAATCCATATTTTAGAACAAGGATGTTCCTGAACTATCACGCATAGGTTCGAGGTCAGTCTGCATATTTTTCCCAAAGTTCACAGGAAGATGGGAAGGGAGGTGCAGTAGGGACACATCACAGAGAAAATATTACTGTTCATTCTGGGCTAAGTTGTATCCTTTTTGATCTGTGGGGGAAAAGGAAGTTACACATCACTCATGGGATACTCACCTTGAGAATTTTTACAACCACTCTCTCATTGTTGGTGATGTTAATGGCCTCAAATACTTCACTGTACTTTCCCCGACCAAGTTTTCGAACCAGTTGATAATCGTCTTGATTACTGTGAAAGGCAAGCGACACACATAAATGCCACAGGACTTGAGACTAACCAAGCCTATGCCCCTTACACGCTCCATCCAGTCGCTTTCATTAATCACGCGCTTGGAAGTGTCTATACATCACGCCACAACTCATTCCCTAAATGAAAGCCACAACAGAAACTTGGCTCCCTTCACCCTACACAACTCCTAATCTAATTGGTCCTTCATAACTTTGGGAGATGAAGTAGGAAGGCAAGGCTCTCAGCCAACCTAGAGGGCCAAAGCACTCGTGTGGAGGCCCCAAGGATGCCCCTCTGCCCATGGCGCCACGGCACCTGCCCACTTCACACTTTGAAGGTAGCCAGTGCCGGTTCTGAGAAACTGGACATCTTAAAAAAAATGTCCTCCCACCCAGCCTCATTTCAGAGAACTAAAAAGGCAGAGAATTTTAATAGCTCAAATGGACAGCTGTTGACCTCTCATCTCAAAAGAAACCCAAAAGTGTGAGGAGAAAGGGCTCCTCCCTCACTTCCACCAGGCTCTGGTCCCTGGACCCCACACTTCCCCAGTAAGAAACCATGCCTTGGGGGAGAGGGGTGCGCAAAGCAGGGAGAAATGGACGAAATGGGGGAGAGGACAGGAGGAAGATCCAAACATGTGCGAGGGGCCTCTGCCTCCCACCCGATCCTTAGGACCCGAGCCCCCGGCGGGGAGATAGATCGCCGGGGGTCGAGTGCGGTTTGCGCCGGGGGTTGGCCGGGCGTGGGTGGGGGGAGAGCGGGCCTGGCGGGGGGCGGCGGCGGCGGCTTTACCCCCAGCTCGGGACGTGAGACTC